CCCCGCGAACCACGCGGCTCCGCCCCCGCGCCCCCCGCCCACCGCCCGCGCCCCCCGCGGGCCGCCCCCGCCCCGCCCCCCATGCACCACCTCTTGGAGCAGTCGGCGGACATGGCGACAGCGCTGCTGGCGGGCGAGAAGCTGCGGGAGCTGATCCTGCCGGGCGCGCAGGACGACAAGGCAGGCGCGCTGGCCGCGCTGCTGCTGCAGCTGAAGCTGGAATTGCCGTTCGACCGCGTGGTCACCATCGGCACAGTGCTGGTCCCCATCCTGCTGGTCACCCTGGTCTTCACCAAGAACTTCGCAGGTGAGGTGAGGGCGCGGGTGTCAGTGCGCCGGGCGGACACCCGGCCTCTCCAGTCAGCTAACCCACAGTGGCTTGGCCTTGTCCCAGGAGTCTCCCACAGACTTCCTCATCCGCCCCCACACTCACAGGTGTCCCTGTCGCTGGGGCCACCTCCCAGGCCCCCTTTTCTGTTTTATTGTTTTTCCTTCCCTGAGCTCTGCGGTGGGATTAGGCCTGTCTTGGACTTGTCTTGTCCGTCCCAGATGTCAAGGGGATTGGGGGGGTGGCCTTCAGAATGCCACAGCAGTCTTAGGGTTGGAGGAACAGCCAGGTGTTTGGAACGAAGAGAAGAGCCAGTGCTGCTGGGCAGGGGCCCTGGGCAGGCAGTGGGTAGGAGGGAGGTGGAGCAGTCTCTGGCTGATGGGCAGGGGTGGGGTGCCTAGAGCTGGAGCCCTGAGTAGAGGGGGTGGGACAGGGCCAGGGCAGAGGGATGGGCAAAGGGAGGTCAGCAGACACTGAGGTGTGGGTCAGCAGAACACAGTGTGGTAAGGTGAGGGGTACTGTGAGAGTCCTTGAGGAGCCCCCAATGCCCCAGCAACACCAGGGGAGGGGGCTCTTGGGGCCTCACTCTCCCTGGCAGTCCAGGTACCCATGGGCTGTGTTTGTGGCCCAGCAAAGCCAGCCTGAAGTGGGAGGGACTGTTGAGGTCCTATGACCCCCTCCAGGGGGTCACATGCTGTCCCCTCAGCCTCTGACCAACATTGGCAGACACCATGTTGCTGATGGCTCTTTATGAGCCTCAACATGCCTCATCTTTTCGGTGTCTCCTGTGATCAGTAGGCACCAGACCTGAGGGTGGACATGTCAGGATTAGACAGTCCATCGTGGGTGTGGAAGGGCCTCCTCTGCTGGTCTCTCCCCTTGGACACTCAGTATCAGGACACTCCACTCCCCATAGTGGGGCTGGGGCCACCTCGAGGCCAGCAGACCCTGAGTTAGTTTCCTTTAGTGACTGTGGTAAGAAAGTACCACAGACTCAGTGGCTTGAAACAACAGAAATTTCTGTCTCATAGTTCTAGAGCAGTGGTTCTCAACCTGTGAGTTGCAACCCACAGGAACTGTATTAAAGGGCCGTGGTATTAGGAAGGATAAGAACCACTGTTCTAGAGGCTGAAGTCCAAAATCCAGGTGTTGGCAGAGCCCTCCAGAGGCTCCAGGCAGAGTCCTTCCTCCTCTTCAGATTGTAGTTGTTGCCATAATCATTGGTGTCCCTGGGCTTGTGACTGTAGGACCCACACTCTCTCTGTCTTCACATGGGTATCTTCCCCATGTCTCTGTCCAATCACTTTTCTTAGACACGAGTCACAGGCTGGGCCTACCCCTGACCCAGGATGATCTCTGTAATTTGAGCACATCTGCAAAGACTATTTCTAAATAAGATCATGTGAACAGTTGTAGGGGACGCAGTTCAAACTTAGGGTGGGTTTGAATGTGGGTACACATGTGGACCCAGACCCCTTGTGAGCACTCCTACTCTGCTGGGTCCAGCTCATCACACAAGGACAAGGGGTGTCCAACTGTGCCAGGGCTGCTTGTGTCTCCTCAAGTGTGTCCTTCATTCTGGTCCTGATGTGTCCTTGGTCTCTGTGGGCTGCCTTCAGTCTACCTGCATTTGCACATGGATACATCTGTGTTCACCGAGTCCCACAGGCCTGGCTCTTTGCTGTGCTGTGAGTGTGAGGTCAGACAGCTCTTCTGAGCAGGGTCTGTGGGTGCTGGTACCTGCTGCCCAAATCTCCAGGTTCTGAAACTGCTCTGTGGACTGTGCCTGCCCAGTGGGACCAAGGTTTGCCCAACGAAATCTTGTTTCCAGTCACAGGAAAAGCTGGGGGCTGGTAGAGGTGTTCCCAGCCCACTGCCCTGGTGATGAGCGGTCCACATACAGGACCCCTCTGTGTTTCTAGAAGCATCAGCTGCTTCTCTTGCTTCTTCAGTCAGCACTAGATGGGGCATTGTCTCCCTGGGGTGCTACAGAGTGTTCTAGGAGCTTCCCTGGCACCTCACTCAGAACCAGGATGCCCCTCAGGTCCCGGGTCATGGGCCAACTCCTGGGGTGAGGTTACCCCCAGACATGAAGAAAGGGTAGACTCCAGGGGCCATACGGGCTCATGAGGGCACTGGGATGAGTCAAGATTGAGAAGGGTATGGTCAGAAGCTCTCATCTTCAGGTGCGAGGTTCTGGGAGGTGCAGACCCTGCTCTCTTGACCCCAAATCAGTACCATGTCTGTGAGGGTCTGAGTCCAGGGAGAGGTGCAGAGCCATGGCCGGTGAATGCTGGGGCCCCTCTTTCCAAGCCCTACTCTCAGCCTGGCTGAGCGGTTCCATGACATGGGGAGGCTTCTTGGGGACCCACTGCTGGTGTCCTTGCTGTGTGCCCTGGTCTGTTCATGGGAACACGTGGGCAACCACATGCCATCAACCACAGGGCTGTGGTGAGAGGGCTAGATGGGCACATGGTCAGCCACAGTGGATACTGGGTGCCTGCCTGGCCTGGGGCTGGACCAGATTCTGGAGCCTGATGCATCATGTCAGGAGGGCCAGGCCCTCTGTGCCAGCAGTTTTCTCCGTCAAGGCACTAGTGGCCCTGTCCCCCAGAGCGCTGAACCGGCTAGGAAAAGGGTAGGCTCTGGGAGACACTGTGCCTCCCCCAGGAGACCAGTGGGCAGGGCCTGATCCAAGAACCCACCTAGCTATGGGGCCCATCCAGGCTTGTAGAGCCCAGACCTGCAGCCTGGGAGAATGGGTGACCAGGTTCTTCAGCCCCTCACAGGGGACCTCCTTTCTTTGGAGTAGCCATATGATTTGGGATATTTCCTGATAGAATTGGCCCATGTTTCCAACAACAGCAGACTTGTGGCTGGAGAAGTATTCTCCCTAGCTCAGCCCTTTTTCTTTTTCAAGGAAGAAGGCAGGTAAGCACCAGGGAGCGTGAACATAGCTGCACAGGTTGGGTCCTCTCAGGGAGTCTTGGAGTCCTAGGAGTGTTGGACCGGCTGCTTTCAGGATATGGTACCATCCAGGCCAAGGGCCAAGTCCCAAGTCCCAGGGTCTCCAGGGTAGACTTGTGAAGAGTCCAGACTCCTTGCCCCCTCAGGAAGAGCTGGGGGCCCCTCCATCCACTCTTTTCTGTGGCCTGAGGGTCAGCCCTTTCCCTTAGGGCCCCAGCTAAGGATAGGGAGCTATCTTAACTCAGAGGAGGCAGCTAGTAAGTGCCAGCTGCCCTGGTTAATTTATGGTTGCCAGAACAATTACATAAACTTAGCAGATCACAAACCTGAGATAAGCCTCAAGTGGGGCTGCCATCCCAGAGTGGGTAGGCCCACACCTTGGTGGATCTTCTGGGAAAACCGCTACCTAGTCCTCAGCCTCCGATCTCTTCTTCCAACCTTGAAGTGGCAGCAAGGAGCCTCCCCCTCCCCCTGCTGTCCTCACCTCTTTACTCTTTGTCCTCTCACCACCTGACCCAGGGACCCTAGAGTTCCAGTCCCACCCAGACAATCCAGGGTCATCTGTCCAACAAGGTCTGTGACCCAGATCACATGTACCCCTTTCCTGTGCAGGGTGATACAGCCTCAGGTTATGGAGGCTGGGATGTGGACATCTTTGCCAGCCATTATCCCACTGGCTACAGCATCCCATTTGGAGGCCTAAAGGGCTGTGGGAGCCTGGAAGGGTCAGGGCCTCTCTGGGTGAGTGTCAAGGAAACAGCAGCAGTGGCCTGGGGGTAACCAGGACAAGGTCTGGCCATCTGGCCAACAGGAGGAGCAGCTTTTGCAGAGCCAGGGGGTCCTGGGGGCATCCCCACTGCCCAGATGGAGAGGAACCCCAGTGGAGGGAGCCATGGGGCCATGTGTGGGCTGCACCTCAGGGACAGGCTGGAGGCCAGGAGGGCACTGGGAGACACTGTGCCTCCCCCAGGAGACCAGTGGGCAGGGCCCAACCCAAGAACCCACCTAGCTATGGGGCCTATCCAGGCTTGTAGAGCCCAGACCTGCAGCCTGGGAGAATGGGTGACCAGGTTCTTCAGCCCCTCACAGGGGACCTCCTTTCTTTGGAGTGGAGATGTGCTTGGACCTGGTGGGACCCCCAACCCAGATATGGCTTGGCAGATGCTATTGAGGACAAGGGCTCTCCTGAGGCCGGGCTATGTGGAGTATGCCCAGACAGTTCAGATTTGCTCTTGCCTGAGGCTGTGTTCGGGAAGATAGCCCTGGCTCTTTTGACCTTCCTGTGGCATTGTGATGAGTTAGGAGGACCTGTGTAAGACAGGCCATGTGGGCACCTGGCTGCCAAGCCAGCTCCTTGGCTGGGAAACTAAGTATCCTCTGTTTCTGAGCCTCTATTGGCTACAGTCCACGCAGCACTCTTTCTGTAAAAAGGGGCTTTGGGGGTGGCTCCTTCTACCCAGTGCACTACTCTGTCAGGTGGGCAGGGCTCTGCCATCCCTGGGAGATCCCAGAGGAGGGGCTTTGATTAGAGGCCCATGGCAGCTGCTGTTTGGGCTAGGGTCTCCTGAAGCCCTGCAGCGTCCCCTGCTGTCCCACCCAGCACAGGACCTGGCAGCCCCCTGTGTCCCGCATGGCCCTGAGTGCTGCTGTGGCAGTGAGGAGCGCTCTGCACCTCTGCAGCTATAGGCCTATTCAGGAGGCAGCCTTGCTAGACATGCCCCAGGCACATCTCACCTCCAGAGCTATGCTAACATCATTGATTGAGGAGATGAGGAAACGGGGGTCTGAGAACCCATCAGAGACTTCCCTTGCTGCTACCAGATAGTTGAGGAGATGACAGTAGAGTCCAAATGGGAACCCCACACCCTGTCCCCATGGAGGCAACACAGGATGCACGTTGGGGGCTGCAGAGCTCTGCTCTCACCCAGCCTTGGGGGATAGGCCACCCCATGCTCCAGAGCAAGGACCCCTCTTCCCATTCCCCTGTGGACCCAGGGCCTGGGCCAGAGGTTCTGGGGCCTCACTCACCCATGCTGGGTACCCACACCCAGCAAGGGTGCAGCCCAGCTGGGTTAGCAGCAAAAGACAAACCTGGCCCTGTGCTCCTTCCCACAGGCCGCTGGGGTTGGATGTAAGGACAAAAAATAAGTAAATAAAAGGCCATTTTCTCAACCAAGAGACTTGATTTCCTTTGCCTTTTCTGGTTTTCTCTTCTGAGCCCTTCTTGTTGAGGGCTCTACCCCACCCTGCCTATCACCTCTTATGGACACCCCAGAGCTCCCGCCCCAGCGCCAGCTCCAAAGCAGAGCTTCTTCTGGCCTGTCCATGAGTCCTCAAGACCTCCAGGGTGAGGGACTAGAACTCACTGTGGGCACTACCCCAAGGCTGTCTTGGCTGGGCCACATTCTGGTGAGCCTCAGGCCCAACCCAAACTCCCCTGCTACAAGGGCTGTCAAGACTGGTGGGTGGGCCAGGCACCGTGGCTCATGCCTATAATCTCAGCACTCTGGGAGGTTGAGGTGGGCAGATCACTTGAGCTCATGAGTTCAACACCCTGAGCGAGTGTTCAGGGTCTCAAACTTCCCTTCCTGCTGCCAGACAGATGGGGAGATGAGACCCCCATCTCTAAAAATAGCCAAGCATTGTGGCAGGCACCTGTAGTCCCAGCTACTCGAGAGGCTGAGGCAAGAGAATCACTTGAGTCCAAGAGTTTGAGGTTACTGTGAGCTATGATGCCATGACACTCCACTAGTGGTAACAAAGTGAGACTCTGTCTCAGAAAAAAAAAAAAAAAAGACTGGTGGGTGCCGTGGGCAGTGGCAGACAGGGGCTCTATGCTTGGTCAGCAAGGGGCTGAGACCTGTAAGAGCTGGGGCCATTGGGGTGCATGGGGCTGGAGGCTGTGGGGGCCCATCCCCAGCTCCTGCACAGGAGCCCTGTGCATCATCGAGGGTGAGCATTGGTCTTCCAGCATGCTGCACAGGCTGCTTCCTGGTCTCTGCTCCTGTAGGGGGAGCTGGGCCTGTGGATGCCTGGAGGGCAGGTGCATGGGTTCAGCCTCTGAGCCTTCCAGTTCTACTCTGGAGAAGCATTAAAAGGTAAGATGCAGGTTTGGCGCCTGTAGCTCATTGAGTAGGGCACCGGCCACATACGCACTTAAGGTGGCGGGTTCGAGCCCAGCCTGGGCCTGCAAAACAACAATGACAACTGCAACCACAAAATAGGTGTTATGGTGGGCACCTGTAATCCCAGCTGCTTGGGAGGCTGAGACAAGAGAATCCCTTAAGCCCAAGAGTTGGAGGTTGCTGTGGGCTGTGATGCCATGGCACTCTACCGAGGGCAACATAATGAGACTCAAAAAAAAAAAAAAAAAAACAGTAAAATGCAAGCCTGGCGCATAGCTGAGCATGATGAGGGCCCCAGTGTCCACAACATTCTTTGGCCACTGGCTGCTGCCCATCATATCTGCAGGAGCAGACAGGTGTGTGGGGAAAGCCACAAAGTTCAGGAACAACCATTTGTCCTGCAGGTCAGAGTTACCTCTGCTCCACTTGAGTGGCTGGCACTGCTGCTGAAGGGTCTTCGAGACCCTGCCTGCTCAACATCCAGGGTTCCCAGGCTGCCCATCCTAGAACACTGGGTTCTAGGGTCCTAGGGGACACCCCTCAAGGACAGACAGCCCTATGTTGGTTTTTCCTAGATGTTGTGCTGCCATAAGCTCTCTGGGCAGGTAGGACTGTCCAACCCAACCTCCTTCCTCAAAGAGGGCAGGCATCTCAGGGCAGTGTGAGACCAGCAGGCAGGACCTAGAAGAGGGACCCTGCCTGAGGGGTGTGGCCTGTCCAGGTCCTTTCCAGGACTTGGTTTCCCCTATGCACACAGGTCTTTGGGACACCTGCATAGGGATTCAACCTGTGAGGTCTGTGGTTCAGGTCATTTCCTGGGGCTGGGAGGAGCTGATAGCTAGTGGAGGTTACCCCACCATGGGCAGGACATGGGGGGAGCCGGGTGGGAAGCTGACCTGAGAACTGGGGGGTTGCCTTTGGGGAGCAGCAGGCCCTGCACAAGGCCAGCAGCTGTGTGGGAGGAAGTGAGCAGGCCCACCCATTCCCTTTGCCCCAGCCCTGTCTCCTCTCTGCCCCCAGAGGAACCCATTTACTGTTACACCCCGCACAACTTCACCCGTGACCAGGCGCTGTACGCCCGTGGCTACTGCTGGACAGAGCTTCGGGATGCGCTGCCCGGTGTGGACGCCAGCCTGTGGCCATCACTGTTTGAGCACAAGTTCCTGCCCTATGCGCTGCTTGCCTTCGCTGCCATCATGTACGTGCCCGCACTGGGATGGGAGTTCTTGGCCTCCACGCGCCTCACCTCCGAGCTCAACTTCCTGCTACAGGAGATTGACAACTGCTACCACCGGGCGGCTGAGGGCCGGGCCCCCAAGATTGAGAAGCAGATCCAGTCCAAGGGGCCCGGCATCACGGAGCGCGAGAGGCGCGAGATCATCGAGAACGCGGAGAAAGAGAAGAGCCCAGAACAGAATCTGTTCGAGAAGTACCTGGAGCGCCGGGGCCGCAGCAACTTCCTAGCCAAGCTGTACCTGGCGCGGCACCTGCTCATCCTGCTGCTCAGCGTACTGCCCATCTCCTACCTGTGCACCTACTACGCCACGCAGAAGCAGAATGAGTTCACCTGCGCGCTGGGCGCGTCCCCCGACGGGCCCGCAGCGGGGGGGCTGGCGGTGCGCGTCAGCTGCAAGCTGCCCTCAGTGCAGCTGCAGCGCATCATCGCGGGCGTGGACATCGTGCTGCTCTGCTTCATGAACCTCATCATCCTCGTGAACCTCATCCACCTCTTCATCTTCCGCAAGAGCAATTTCATCTTCGACAAGCTGCACAAGGTGGGCATCAAGACCCGCCGGCAGTGGCGCCGCTCACAGTTCTGCGACATCAATATACTGGCCATGTTCTGCAACGAGAACCGCGACCACATCAAGTCGCTCAACCGGCTGGACTTCATCACCAACGAGAGCGACCTCATGTACGACAACGTGGTGCGCCAGCTGCTGGCCGCGCTGGCCCAGTCCAACCACGACGCCACGCCCACCGTGCGGGACTCGGGCATCCAGACTGTGGACCCCAGCGCCAACCCCGCGGAGCCCGAGGGCTCTGCTGAGCCGCCTGTGGTCAAGCGGCCGCGCAAGAAGATGAAGTGGATCCCCACCAGCAACCCGCTGCCCCAGCCCTTCAAGGAGCCACTCGCCATCATGCGCGTGGAGAACAGCAAGGCTGACAAGCCCAAGCCCGTGCGCAGGAAGACGGCCACGGACACGCTGATCGCCCCGCTGTTGGACGCCGGCGCGCGTGCGGCTCACCACTATAAGGGCAGCGGGGGCGACGCAGGCCCCACGCCGCCCTCTGCCGCTGACAAGAAGCACGCCCGCCACTTCTCACTGGACGTGCACCCCTACATTCTGGGCACTAAGAAGGCCAAGCCCGAGGTGGTGCCTGCTGCCCTGCCCACCTCACGAAGCCAGGAAGGAGGCTTCCTGTCCCAGGCAGAGGAGCATGGGCTGGGCCTGGCCACAGCACCTACCCAAGGTAGGGGCTGGGGGCCTGTGCAGGGTACCAGGGAGGGGAGGGCGCCTTTAAACCGGAACCCTAGAAAAGGTTAAGGATGGAACTGGCTTGATCAAAGCAGGCCAGGCAGGCTAGGTGCCTGTACCTCAGGGGCTAGGGCGCCAGCCACATACACCAGGGCTGACAGGTTCACACACCGGCCTGGGCCTGCCAAACAACAGTGACAAATACGGGAAAAAAAAAAAAGCTGGGCTTTGCATAGGTGCCTGTACTTCCAGCTGCTTGGGAGCCTGAGGCAAGAGAATCACTTAAGCCCAAGAGTTTGAGGTGGTTGTGAGCTGTGATGCTACACACTCTAGAGAGGTTGACATAGATTCTGTCTCAAAAAAAAAAAAACGGGGACAGTGCCTGTGGCTCAGTGAGTAGGGCTCCAGCCCCATATACCAAGGGTGGCAAGTTCAAATCTGGCCCCCACCAAACTGCAACAAAAAATAGCCGGGCATTGTGGCCGGCGCCTGTAGTCCCAGCTACTTGGGAGGCTGAGGCAAGAGAATCACCTGAGTCCAAGAGCTGGAGGTTTCGATGAACTGTGAGGCCATGGCTCTACTGAGGGCAACAAAGTGAGACTCTGTCGCTGGGGAAAAAAAAAAAAAAGCAGAGCAGGCAGGTGAGAGGGTATATAAGTGAGTCACAGGCCAGGCAGGACCCCAGAGAACCCTGAGGAGCAAGTGAGGAAGACCAAGGCAGGGACAGCCCCAGGGTTTGGCCCAGGCTGGCTGCTGGCTGCAGGGCACCCCCTCAACCCCAGCACCAGCCTGCCCTGGGTGGGCACCAGGAGGGCAGCAGTGGGCCACTGTGTGAGATGCCTGTGTTTTCGGCTGTTTGCAGAGGCTCCTCTACCTGAGAAGGAAATCCCATACCCGGCAGAGCCACCCCGGGCAGGGCTTCCCTCTGGGAAGCCGTTCCACGTCTGCTCGCCCCCTGTGGCCCCTGCTGCAGCCCCTCTGTCACCAGCTGGCCTGGGCAAGGCTGAGCCCCTCACCATCCTGAGCCGAAACGCCACTCACCCTCTGCTGCACATCAACACGCTTTATGAGGCCAGGGAGGAGGAGGAAGGGAGTCCCCGGGTGCCCCAAGACATGGGCGACCTCATCACCATCCCAGCCCCTCAGCAGATCCTCATCGCCACCTTCGACGAGCCCAGAACAGTCGTGAGTACTGTGGAGTTTTGAGAGACCTCTGGGTGCCCCTCAAAAATGTGTGTGGCCCAGCTGGCTGGCCCCTGCTTTGCATGGACTAGGCCTCTGCTTTGGCCAGCACTGCCCCAGCCCTAGCCTCTCAACTGCTTGCCTGGGGGTTCAGCACCCTGCCCAGCTTGATAGGGAAGCTGCCTGTGGCAGCATCAGGGCGCTGGCTGGGGCAGGACAGGAGGTGGCCCAGGGGAGCTGCTCCCCACCCCCTGTACCAGGCGTTCAGCTGTGGGTGGTGGGCAAGATGAAGAGTTTATTTTTTTAGCCAATTTTTGAGGCCCCAGTTCAGCTGCTCCAGCCCAGGGCAAGCCAAGAGGAAGTTGGGGACTATAGCACCAGCCAGGTGGGCCATGCCTGGGGCCACTTGCTCAGGGCCTCACCCATGCAGGGGCCTGGTGCGCTCCATCTCAGGAGCTGCAATGCCCCCTCGGGTCAGAGTGAGACATGCACTTTCTCCTTGTCGCCTGACATAGGTTTTATTTTACTGTGATTACTGTTACTAACGACATTTATCATCAGGAGACTTGGGATGTGTGAATGGTGAGTGTGCACGAGGGTATGCTTGAACAGTGTAGGCACACAGGTGTGCAGGATGAGGCTGAGCCTGTGAGTGTGCGAGTGCATGAGAGTGGGCATGAGCCACGTGCGAGCAAGGGAAGGCGTCCAATGCAATAACCACGTCCCCCACCCGGGCCCCAGCCACCGCCGAAGCCCACATCGCTTCCTGTGGGAGCCCAGGCCGGCGCCCTGTGGGTCACGCCCCATTACCTCAGCCACAGAGGCAACGTGGCACAGTTGACAAGGTAGCACTGAGCATATCAATAAATGTTATTCTGATAACCGCCTGTGCTACGCCTTCTGCCCAAGTCCCAGGCTTGTCCTCCGACTCACTGGGTGGTGCTGAGAAATGGTGGGGGAGTTGCCTTCATCCAGGAATCTAAAGAGGGAGTGGGAGGCTCCCAGTGCACCCACGGTGAGGCAGGAGCATTTGGCTGTCCCTCATGTAGCAGGACATGGTGATGATTCAGGTGTGGCCCTAAACTCCTAGGCTTACAGGCTAAGGGGAGACAAATGCTTGACCCCCCGCCAGTCTTTCTGGCCCTGTAGGGCAGTGTGAGGTGCACTGCTACGGGCCCAGAGAACTGCAAGGGCCCACAGAGGTATCCTTTGTGTGGTCTGGGGATGCTGGGAACATCATGGGGTCTGGGCATAGGTTGACCAGGTATTGGACATTTCCACATGTGGCCCCTGGCCTAGAGGTTGGTGGAACACAGGTCCTGTGGGTGTCCCGGAGCCTCATGCCCTACAGGCCACAGCCGGTGACCCGAGGGTCTAAATGGAGGATCCTTAAAGGGTGGGGTGGAGCTCATGGGCAGGAATCACAAGGGTAAACTCAGCTGAGGTCAGAGCAGGCCTGCCGGAGTGTCCTAGATATTCCTCCACTGAGGTGTTCGTAGCGTATGCAGATTCCCCCAACATCTCAGTACTCTGGGTAAGATCTCGGTCCTCACCACAGTGGCTAAGGGTGGCCACCACAGCCTGAACCTAGAAGTAAGGCACATGGACACAGGCTAGAGGCCGTATCCCCATTTTAAAGGAGAAGACTTACCTGTTTTTTGAGACAGGGTCTTGCTAAGTTCTCCAGGCTGATCTTGAACTCCTGGCCTCAATCAATCCTCTTACCTCCCCCACCTAAAGTGCTGAGATTACAGCGTGAGCCACTGCACCCTTCTAAAATGGAAATCATTTTACCATTCAGGCATGGTGATGCCAACAGATCAAGAGACAGCCCCCACTGAAAGATACTCAGATCCCCAAGGAGGGGCCACTTCCTGTGACAGGTGGGGTGTTGGAGAGGGGATATGATCAAAGCCCTTGCTGAGTTTCTAGGCAGGAGGGGCCATGCTGTGGCGAGGCTGTCTCTGGCCCCTTTGGCATAGTGAGGAGGCAGGTGGGTTATGGCACAGGGTGTAATAACCCAGAGGGCAAGGACAGGGGCTTGGGTGCTCTGAAGGGGGTCTCTCTAGGGTCAGTGAGGGTGTGGTTCATGCACCCTGACCCAGGATACTCCACAGCCTGGCATCCCCGTGGTATTAGACATTTCCACATGTGGCCCATGACAGCTGAGGTGACCCAAGGGAACTCATGTGATGCTGGCCTCAGGTGACAGTGTTTGCCCTGGCTTTTGTGCTCCCCCCTCATACCCACACATCTGTACACTGCCTGCCCACCATCACCCCTGCCAGTGGCAGGTCCCAACTCACCCTGCATACTCCATGGCTCTGCTCAGCATGAGAGGTGCCCAGAGTCCCTCAGTGCCTCCTGGCCTGAGCAGTGTGGGAAGTCCAATTCCAGCAGCCTGCCCTGTGGGTCCTGCTTCCCTGCTGGTGCAGGAAGGTGTCACCAGCCATAGAACTGGCATTGTCTGGCAGGGGCTGAGGATGCTGGCTACTGGGCTCAAGAAGAGCAATACAGACATGGTAGGCCCTGGCTCCCATGGGGCCGCCTCAGTGTCTTTGGTGGGACCAGGGCTCAGGGTAGTGGCCACCCTGTCCACCCGTCTCTGGACCACAACCTGGCAGGAGGTCTCAGACCAAGTCCTGTCTGGAAAGAGTTTCGTTCGACAAGTGAGCACCACCATGCTGTGTGGGTCTGACTCTGACCCCATCTGTGGGGAGGGAACCCAGGTGGCATTCTGCAGAAGCCAATACCTTGCTACAGGTTGGTGTGGTGGGGGGGGGATAAGACATCTCCTGCCTCCCCCAGGCAGACTTTGCCATCTCATCCCAGACCCCCAGACCTGTCTTCCTGAGCCTTGGGAGTTCCTCGGAGCAGGTGGGTAGAGACCATGAAGGATAGTGCTGGCCCTCATGGGGCTCCCTCCTCTGTCCTCCACCCCAGATGCCTGTTTCTGTGGCATCTTTTGGGGTGAGGATGATTCATCTAGCTCTGTATCAAACCCAGCCTTTCCTCAATATCCACCCCCCAAAGCTGGCAGGGACAGAGTCAGTCCCTCTGCAGCAGAAATGACTCCAAACCTTTTGTTTACTGTTCCTAAGGGGTCTGGGGCCACCCTCTGGCACAGCACAGGCCCCTAGTCACTGCTCCTCTGCGCCCCTTCTCCCCCCAGTCTCTCCCCTGACCCTTGTGGCTCACTCAAGCAGGCCCTTCTCTCAGCAATGAACAAGGGGTCTCTGCTACGGACATGCCCTAGGGTCAGAATGTACTTTCTGCCCCATCACCTGGCTATTCTTGAGGCATCCTTTCTACTACCCGGCTGTGTGCAAGGAGCAGAATCTTCCCAAACAAAAGCATGCTTGGAAACAAGATCTTTAGAAAACTAAGGTCATCCCTGCCTTGTTCTCACAAGCACAAGGACCTGCCTCAGTTTCCCTGCCAGAATTCAAGGTCCACCCCCTGCTGATTCCCACCCCTCACAGCCTATGTAGCTCCTGAAGGGATTAGAGGGCAGTTCCAGTTTCTCCTCCAGTGTCCACTGCCTGTCAAAGCCTGGGGTGTCTTCCTCCCCCCAACAGGCCGCCTTGCCCTGGTGAGTGCAGGAGGGCGGTTCTAGCAGCCCAGGAGCCACTGTTTGGCCACCATTAATATGAAACACCAGCCTCCCTCTGTTTCCCCCCACAACCCTGGGCAGAGACTGGCAAGGCAGGTAGGCACTGCCATCCCTCTCATGTAAGAAGGGCTCAGGGAGAGAGCCTTGCACTCATCCCAGACTCCTAGGCCAAGCCTCTTCCCACCACACAAGCCCTTTGCTGAGAATTGCAGCCACTCACTGCAGACACTGGGAAAGAAGCCCAGGGTGGACATCAGCACAACACCTGGTAAATGAGTGGTGTAGAGCCAGTGGTCTGCTCTAGACTCAACACTACCTGTTGTCTTCCTGGGTGAATGTGTTTAAGATGGTGGGGAAGGTACAAATGACCACAAAGTGCTGGCATAAAAGCAGCAAAGGACAGAAATGGATGGAGAGAGCTGGAACAGTGATCAAGGAGGACAGAGGACCCACTGAGGCCAGGCCAGGCCCTGTAGGCTCAGGAAGCTATATGAAGGCAGCAGGCAGCCCAGCAGATACACCTCTGTACAAGACCTTGGGGCAGCCAGCCGAGCCTTGAGAGGAGCCCACCCTGGTCCCACAGTGCCAGACCCAACAGGAGCCCCTGCAGACTCAGGACATGGGAAACTGTGACCCTTGCAGGTCACCAGGGTGCAGCTCCTCTGAAGCCTGGGCAGGGACAGTTCCTCCCCTGGAAGCTGGAAGGAAGCTGGTCACCAGCCCTGAGTCCTAATGGACCAACGCACAGGCCAAGGACAGGCCTGGTGGCTGAATAGTGGGTGACTTCCAGTGCCAGCCGAAGACACCTGCTCTGGGTCGTCATTGCTGAGGCCCCCTGCCCTTCTAATAGGCACCTGGGTAGCAGGACACAGCAGCTACTTGCAGAGACTGGCCTAAAACCCCAGCTGGGGCCCGGAGAAGCCAGGTGTTATCCACAGGACACCCAGCTGAGCTGCCCAGGAGGGAGGGGTAGACCCGGGGGTCGCGGGTATCGGAGGGACCCTCCCCACTGCCTCCCTGCACAGCCCCCACCATTGCCCTCACGTCTTAGGGGGGAGAGGGGGTCAGCACTGTGGATGGTCGAAGCCAGCTGGGCCCCCAGGGGCCGTTGGCGCACAGAAGCTGCCCATCCCGCACCTCTGTTGGCAGTGGCCTGGGGGTGCCAACCACGCATCCCAGAGGCCCAAGACCCCTGCCCTAGAGCCTATGCTCCGCCGAGTTGTCCTCGGGGCCACTGGGCTCGACCTCCAAGGACCCCAGCCCACGGGCCGGCTGGGTCCCTGCGGAAGAGAGGGGCCTGCAAGGGTCGAGGCCACGCGTGCGCGGCTCCTGAGCTGGCGTTCTCCGCTCAGCGCCTCCAATGGCCTCCCAGTCGTCCCTTTCGTGCCGGATTCACAGCTCACAGAATAGTTGCATTTCAATATCACTTGACCTCAACCCATCCTGCGCACGCCCTGTGGACATTATCCCCATTTTACAGACGGGGAGCTGCGGCAACAACTGCAGAGCGCGTCGCAAGGCCGCGGTGCCGCGTAGCGGTGGGACTCGAACCGACAAACCCGGGAGCTCGCCGGCGTGCCTTAGGACCCGGAGTCGCCGGAGTGGGGCGGCGGCCCGCGCGCGGCCCCCTGGGAAGTGCAGGCTGCCGCCGCGGCGCGGGAGCAGCGCTGGGCGGGTCGGGGGCGCTCCGGACTGCCCTTCCCGGCATGCCGCGCGGCTGCCCGACGCCCTCGGCCCGTCCGACCAGTCCGGCCGCCCCGCCCCGCCCCGTCCGGTGAGGGCGGAGAGCCGCATGGAGGCCGGCAGAGGAGCGCTGCAGCTTAGCCTTGGTATGCCGCGCGTCCTGGACCGCGGGACTGGGCGGGCCGACTCGAGGGACCTGCTGCGCCCGGCGGCCTCGCGGGGCGGACGGCGCGTGCGTGAAGACCGGCCCCGGTCAGGCCGGAGCGGCGAGGGGTCCTGGGTCTGGCGGGGTAGGGGCGGGTCAAGCCAGAAGGGGTTCGGGTCAGGCCGGAGGTCGGAGGGGAGAGCGAGCTGGGGTCAGGCGTGGGGAGAACGAATCATGTAGGGGACAGGGACGGGGGGCGCTCAGCTCCTGCGTCCCCTCGCCCTGCGTAGGCTGCCTGCCGGGGAACCGGAAGGGTCGGCTTTGGCCTCAGAGGAGGCGTCACTGGCGGGACCCGAGTTCCCTGCGCAAACCCGCGGAGAGGGGAGGGCTGCCCAGGCCTCTTCCGGGGGTGGGGCAGTGGCGGAGGGCCTAGACCCTGCTGTCCCCTGGTCACACCGAAACCTTGGGGTTTGCTTGTCTGTAGGCTTCTTTGCCCTTCAAGTGGAGTAAAGCAAGGTTGCCATATGGCCGGAGTAGACACAAGGTATCCCCGCCTCCACCTTAAAAGGTTTTTGTAACTGAGGAATAAAAAGCCCACGTGTGAGTCTTTGTCAAAACTGTCACAAAACATGTGGAGTCCAAGCTATCTCAGCATTGGCAGCCTGGAAACAACTAGGAACTCTCAGACACTCTGGATTCCTTCTGGTGGTCGTGGCAGCGTGGGAGTTTTCAGGTGGACTCTTCCCAGCTTTGGTGGCCTCTTGAGGAGGAGGATATACAGGCTGCCGGCTCGCTGTTCTTGTGTGGCTCTGCTCTTCCAAGGTCTCTGTCGCCTGTCCTACTGCACAGCCTTGCACTATGGCCATGATACTGTGGTCTTGAGGCTGCTGGTGTTTTGGCATCCCCAGAAGGGGTGGCCAGGTGTTGACCAAAGAGATTTCAGACCTCTCCAGTTCAGGTGTGACTGAGTTTCCCAGCCCCCAACTCCCCCCTCTGCCACACCTGCATATGCAGGGCCCATCAGACCCAGGAGGGGTTTCTAGTGGCCATAGGTGCTTGGGCTTCAGCAACAGTGTGCAGAGGCTATGGGGCCTTTGGGCCACACCCTACTACCTCCCAGCCACATCTCTTTCTGTGACCCCCCAGGTCTGTCTAGTTGAGACCCTTGGCTTTCTGAGCAGGGCCAGTGGTTTGGTTGAGAGATGAGAGTTTTTCTAGGAACTCCATTTAGTGCTGGTCAGCTTTTGGCAAGAGCTAAGCCACGCTAGGATCTAGGAGGCAGTTTTTAGCTGGGGAAGGGGACAGCCTGAGTTAACACTCAGGCTGCAGTGACAAAATATTGTAAGAACTTAACAAAAATTTATTGTCTCATAGTTGTGGAGGCTGAGCATCCAGAGTCAAGGTAAAGGTCCAGTTGGTTTCTGGTGAGGGCCGCCTTCCTGACTTGTTGACATCCTATTGCCATATTTTCACCTGGAGGACAGGGGAGCAAGAGGTGTCTGCTGTCTCCTCCTTTTTTTTTTTTTTTCTTTTCTTTTCTTTTTGGAGTCAGGGTCTTGCTCTGCCTCCAGCCTAGGGCAGTAGCATCAGCATAGATCACTGCAGCTTCCAACTCCTGGGTTCAAGCGATCCTCCTGCCTCAGCCTCCCACAGTACTAGGTTTACAGACATGAGTCACTATGCCTAGCCTGCTATCTCCAGCAGGCTTCCAGGAGAACAAACCTCAAATGTCTGAGAATTCTCATCAGCTCCCAGGAGCACATCCTGTCCTCGTGCACAAGAGAAGGAGCCAGGCTCATGGGGTAGGAAAAGCCCTCTCACATTAGTGATCCACTTGGGATAGGGTTAGTCTTACAAAAGGGCTGACCCTTTCCTGAGCACCCTGTCATGATCTCATCTGAGCTTAATCACCTCCCAAAGGCCCCACCTTCTAATACTGTCACATTGAGAGTCAGGACTTTCACCTGTGAATTTTGGGAGGACACAATTCAATTCATAGCATGGGACCTAGGAGAAGAAAGAGTTGGGCAGGTGGGAGGTGTGGCTGAGGTCACTGTAAAGCCCACACCCTACCACTCAGTCAGATTCAGATGCCAACAGCCTTCTCAAACATTGAACAGATATCACTCTGATTGTGTGTCCCAGGGCTGCCTCCCTGGGTAGATCCTGGTATGAGAGAGAGTTTTCTGCCCTGTGAGCCTGGCTGCTCTCTGGATGTGTGCCCTTAGGCCCTAAGGCTTAGGGGTTAGTGGGAATTCTCAGACATTTGAGGTTTTTTTCTTCTGGAAGCCTGCAAGAGATTCATTCATGTGGAGGACAATAGTACCCAAAACCAGATGGCTATTTTATTCCTTTTTATGGATAAGGAAACAGCACTTAGAGAATAAGAATTTTCAGAGACAGTGTCAAGTCTCCTTTCCTGTCTTGTGGGATACCCTAGCAGAAAAGCTCAGAGAGGTCAAGGATCATGGCTGAAGTAGCATTGGAATGTGGCCTGTGTTTTTAACCAAGAGAGGGCCAGGGGCAGGTGCTGCAAGTCCTCTTTTAACTGGGGCTTAGCATCTTGAAGCCCTGCCTGAGGTGGCACAGTGTGCAGTGGCAGGTCTGGAGTCTGCTAGTACCTGGCCTATTTGCTGACTAGCCTTGCCCAGGAGGAGTCTCCACTGGTGGTGTCCAGCACCTGCCTGATCCCAGGGACACACCTCATCCTGGAGAGCTAATCTACAGAAATGTCCTTTGACTTCTTGGCACTACGAGCTCCTAGCACGTTGGCCTCATAGTGTGGCTGGGTAACAGGACCAGAAGCCATGTGCCAGTGTCCCAGACCCTGTACCAGCTGGTAGGGCTTTAGAGAGGAGACATTCATCCCCCAGAGGGTGTCAACAGGGGATCTACTGGTTTCTGCTGATGGGCTTGAGCTCATCTGAAAAGGACAGATAGGCAGCTGGTGGCTGGACCCTCAGGTGATACTCTGTGGGGATAGCAGTCCAGATATCATTTGGGAAGAAACCAAGAAGGACACAGACAGGGAGCAGGGAACTTGGACCTGGGCCAGCAGGATGAGGGCACAACCCCTTGCTCACCTCCACTCAGCTGGGAGGGCCTTGGGTCCCAGTCATAATTATCTGAGCAGGCTAGAAGGAAAGGGTCACATCCTAGAGCTAACCAGGCACTGCAGGGAGAGGGAGGGAAACCAGAGAGTTGGAAAGGGCAAGGACGCCGTGGCGTCACGGGAGACATGCTCAGAGTCACAGACTCCTAACACTGGAGGGGTCTCAGTGACCCTTCTGCCTGACTCCTCCCAGGCAGCTCTGGCCAGACACACTGCTGAGACCAGTGCACACGTACCCTACACCTCAGGGCGTGGCCAGAGTAGGACCAGCCCCTGTGGTAGGCAGAAGGGCCTACTCTATGCCTCATCACAGGCATGCCCTGGTCAAGCCTCCAGGGCCAAGCCTGACCACAGACCTCTAGCTCCTGCGCCCCTAGGAGAAGGGTCGAGGTCCTGTGGCTGCTGCCCGTCTGCTGGCCCACAGACCACAGAATGCTTTGGAAGTGCTTCCTCATGCTTCAACTGCCTATGTCCTCGTAAGTGGGAATTGTTCTCTGTCCTGTGCTCAGCTGGACTCATCAGGCCACCTACCTGTGGCCCTGGCTGTAGAGCCAGCCTCAGCACACCTCCCTGTGTGTGTTTCGATTGGTGCTTGCTTTAGGGGAGGTCTCTGCCCTGCCAACAGCTTAAGGAAGAAGCCCCTGGGTGAGGCTCAGGCTTTGGCAGAGGCCTGGCTGCTCTGACTGGTGCCAGCAATGCCACTTCCTGGATGTGCCTCAGGCAGATTGGGAGCTGAGATTCAAACTGCTGCAGGGGAGGGTATAGCTGTTCAGGTGGAGAGCTGAGCTCCAGGCACCCAGGGCTGAGTCCACAGGGTGGGTCTCCCTTCCCAGAGGCCCAGCTGGCCTCAGGAGGGGCTACCCCCCTTCCTATTTCATCTGTGTTTCCCTGGATACCAGATGGGGACTTGTCAGACTCTTCCCTTGCTCAGAGGTGCTCCTGCCTGCCTAGCCCTTGAGTCCCTCCCAGACCCTGGCTAAGAGCTCCATCCTGTTTGCAGATGAGGAAACTGGAGCTCAGAGGTGCAGTGACTTGGATCACCAGTGGGGCCAGGTCTTCAAGCCTAGACACCTGCCTGAGGGGCAGGTCTGTGCTTTCTGCAATTATGTGCCCGCAGGATACAGAGGGGAAAGGAGCTTGAGAGAGTGTCATGTTCTGTCATTCATCTTAATTTTTTATTATGAAAGTTGTGAGAATTGTGTAACAATAGTGGAACTGGAGTGCCCCAGGCAGCTGCCTGAAGGTGTCTGGGTGTAGGCTAGAGGCTTGTCCTGCCCGCGTTGTCCCCACAGCAGCTCCTCCAAAGCACATCCCAGAAGCCACAGACATGTAACTCTGATGGATGCAGATGCTTAAAACAAAACCAGGCCAGTTAGCATAGTTCCTTAGTTCCTTAATGTCTCACCTTCCCCTTGGCAGGCTGCTCTGATGGGCTCAGCATTTCTTTTTCTTTTTTTTTAATATGGGGCCAGCGCCTGGGCTCAGCATTTCTAAGCAACTTTATCAAGTCAGAGTCTGACTCTGGCCCTTTGCTGCCCATGGCCACCTCCCCAAAGGCCTTTTTCCCTTGCAGTGTTTGTTAAAAGACCTATGTGTGTCCTTCAGCCTTCTCTGTGCTCTCCGTGTTGTCTGCATGTGCTAGTCGTCCCTGTTATGTGGTCAGCATGCTTGTTGGCTCCTGTGGTTCTGTGTGAGGCTCCAAATTTTGGTTTGATTGTTTTAATGACCCCATGCGGTGGTGACACACCTGTCCACTGGGAGCTGTGTGGAGCCTGTTGGCATTGTGGATGCATCATTTCTTCCTGGCTCCATGGCCACACAGGTCCATGGCTCCCCCCTGTGGGTGTCACTACTGCTCGGCATGTCCCTTTTCCTCAGCATGAATCTCCTTCTTCTAACTCTACAGTGGTCCCTCTGGTGTCTATGCCCCACCCCCATCCCAGGCTGCAGGTTTCTTGCTGAGTGTGGTCAAAGACTCATGTGTGCCTGGCAGCCCTCTTTGGGGCACAGCCTGAGGCCTTATCAGAGCCTCTGACTTGGTTCCTTTTGCGTTGTTTCTGTCTTTTAAGTTAACCTCTGTCGTTAACCTGCTTGCTTTCCCTGAGTCTGCTGCTATCTGCTGGCAGGTGTACTGACATTGTCAGCGGCATTGGGATTACTAAAGAGGTTAGGACTTTCTTTGAAGTGGCTTTAGTACAAAGGCTATAGGGTCCATGCCACGTGCCGTAGGACAGCAGCCACATTACTCTGTCTTGAAGTGATCCCACTCACAGGAGTTCTGCACAGTTAGTACAGGGTTTCTCTTCTTCCTATGTGTTTGCTTATGGTGCCAGGGTGAGGGTTGGGGCATCTTGGCTCTTTTCAGGTGCCTGTGCCATAGCAATGCACCGTGCAGACCCCTCTCTGTGTTTTGCTCATAGTGAATGCCCCTTCTCCCTGACCAGTACCTCCTGAAAGGACTCTAGTCCTCAGCAGCCTGTGATTATCCAGATGCAACTTGTGGTTAGGGCAAGGAGGCCCTGGGCTCCAGCTGAGATGCTACCTCCTTATGTCTCCCCAGGCTCCCTCCACTTGTTCAGGCAGCCACCACACCGCTATGGAGGAGGAGCAGCCACCACAAGAGGTGAGGGGTAGGGCCTGCAGGGGTCTTCTCCCTGAACAACCTCAGTCCCAGGGCCAGGCAGCATCTGAATGGTGTCTACCCAGAGTGGGGCTTCCTGGGGTGGCTCTGGCTGCTTCCCTGCAAAGAAGAAATTCACATGGGCTCGGCACCTGTGGCTCAAGTGGCTAAGGCGCCAGCCACGTACACCTAAGGTGGCAGGTTTGAATCCAGCCTGGGCCCGCCAAACAACAATGACAGCTGCAACCAAAAAATAGCTGGGCGTTGTGGCAGGCGCCTATGGTCCCAGCTACCTGGGAGGCGGAGGCAGGAGACTCACTTGAGCCCAGGAGTTAGAGGTTGTTGTGAGCTGTGATGCCATGGCACTCTACCCAGGGGGGTAGCTTGAGGCTCTGTCTCAAAAAAAAAAGAAGAAATTCAGATGGTTTTTCTGGAGTCAGGAAATGCTTCTGCTGGAGAGGGGCCCTGAGGCAGAGGTGACCTGGTAACCTTGCCACGTGTTGGTGGTGAAAAGAGAGACCACCAGGTGGCCAAGGGAGTGGAGTCCTGCAAATATGTGACCCATAGGACCCAAGGGTTCCTGGAGCGGACACATGGACCCTGGCAGTCCAGGACCCCTGGATACCTGAACTTGAACTCTCCCTCCATCTGCAGGCCGACATGACAGCAGGGGGTTCGGAGCCAGTGCCCAGGGTGCTTTCTGGAGAACCCCAGAACCTATGTACGTGTTTCCTTGGGGTCTCAACATGTTTGCAGTGCTGAGACATTGGGGTGTAGGGTGTGGGGAGGCAGCAGCCTGGGGCAAGCAGGACCCCAGCCAAGATCCAAGTGGGTGCTGTAGGCTGAGTCTCCTGGAGGGCCATCTGCACGGTGCTGAGCTACAGGCAGCACAGATGTTAGAGGGCAGGCACCTAAGCACAGGTGGGGTGAGCAGAGCAGGAGCCCCCGTTCCTGAAGGTGGGCCCCAACTTCTCCTCAGAGCCCCTCCCCCTGCTGAGCTGATATATAGTCCAATGCCCTTGGGCACCAAGTCCCCACTGTCCCCCATCCTTGCCATTCTCCACAGCAGCCTGGGCCTTCACCCTCATGGGCTGAGATGAGGGGCTTCTGAGGCCCAGGCTCAGAGGTGGTCAAATGGCATATGCTGTCACCTAGGCTGGCCAGGTACATGGACCCTGACCCTTGACAGGGAGCTTATGCCCCTGTGAGTTTAGGTTTCATATTGAGTCTCAGCCCCCACTCCACACCTATGCAGTCTTGAGAACCCAGAAGAGTCTGCAGAGCCAAGACTGCCGTTGTGCCAGCAGCTGTCCCCAGAGTTGTGATGGCCTTTGCTGTCTTTGCAGCTGATGTAGACGCCTTCAACCTGCTCCTAGAGATGAAGCTGAAGCGGCGGCAAGAGCGGCCCAACCTGCCACGTACCGTGACCCAGCTGGTAGCAGAGGATGGGAGCCAGGTGTATGTGGTGGGCACAGCCCACTTCAGTGACGATAGCAAGAGGGATGTCGTGAAGGTGAGTGCCATTGTCAACTGGGCTGACCTCACCGGCCACCCCACCATTGACAGCAACACGGGCTAATTATTGGTGAGCTCCTATGTCCAGAACTCAGGGCCCCACAGGAGCCCAGTGCCTCAGTGGCCACCCCAGGAGCCTGAGCCCCTCCCTGTGTGCTACAGAGATGTGAGGCTTTGCTCTGCCTTCCATTTCAATAAATGAACCTGTTTCGTAGCTTTATTTCTTTCATTGCTTAAAGAGTTGAGCTGTCAGGGCGGCGCCTGTGGCTCAAAGGAGTAAGGCATTGGCCCCATATGCTGGAGGTGGTGGGTTCAAACCCAGCCCTGGCCAAAAACTGCAAAAAAAAGAGTCGAGCTGTCACAGCAGCAGAGGCAGTGCCAGGTGGTGCCAGCACTGGCCACCCCTGGCTGGGGCCTCTTGTTGCTAGTGTTGCCTCTGCAGGGGGCACTGAGGGGCAAGCTGCACCCCCGCAGGGTTCACCCCTGGCCATTGCAGACCATTCGGGAGGTCCAGCCCGACGTGGTGGTGGTGGAGCTCTGCCAGTACCGTGTATCCATGCTGAAGATGGATGAGAGCACACTGTTGCGCGAGGCCAAGGAGCTCAGCCTAGAGAAGCTGCAGCAGGCTGTGAGGCAGGTGCGCAGGTGATCAGGGACCAGCTCTGCACAGCTAGAGCCCAGATCCCCCTGGTCTGGAGGCTTAGGGTAGGTCCAAGGGAGAGAGGTGGGCCTGAGAGTTTCATCCTTGCTGAAGGATCTTCACCCCTACTTCAAGTATACTCCTTGAAGTACTGATCCACCCTGCCTAGCAAGACCCAGAGGCCATCAGCTGTGTGATGTAGCCTGCCTAGGACTGGTGCCTAGGCACTATCTGTTGGCCCTCGCAGGCAGATGGGAGAGACAGGGCTGCTTTGGCATGGCCCTGACCCAGCATGTTTGCCCAAGGTCAGGCATCTGTGACGGTGAGATGGCCCTTTTTCAACCCTTGATTATTTTATAAAGGGCTTTTCTTAAGAGGGGCTGGCTGGCTTTGAAAAGCAACTCTTAAGGCCTGAATGAGCATGGCCAGAATGCCCATGCTCACGGGGCTACCTACCATCCTTCCACCTGGGCTCTGCCCTGCTGCTGTGCGCAGCTAAGCCTAACCTCTCTCTCCCTACAGAATGGACTCATGTCTGGGCTCATGCAGATGCTGCTGCTGAAAGTATCTGCACACATCACGGAGCAGCTGGGCATGGCCCCTGGGGGCGAGTTCAGGGAGGCGTTCAAGGAGGTGGGCAGAGCACAGCCGGGGGCAACTGTGTGGGGGTAGCTGGGAGAAGTTGTCCAGGGCCCCCACAGCTCCCCAATGCCCACCTCTGCTCCAGGCCAGCAAGGTGCCTTTCTGCAAGTTCCACCTGGGTGATCGGCCCATCCCTGTCACCTTCAAGAGGGCCATCGCCGCACTCTCCTTCTGGCAGAAGGTCAGGCTGGCCTGGGGCCTGTGCTTCCTGTCAGACCCCATCAGGTAGGGCAGCCTGGGAACAGTGGCCCTGGCACAGCCACACCTGCCCAGGTCCCAGCCAGCCAAGCCTCTTCAGACAAGACCTTCCCTACCCCTCCCTACTGTAGTGAATACCAAACAAATAGTGCCATGGTCCCTGCCCTGGGTCAACAGCACCAGCCCCCACTGTCCCTGCCCTATCCTGTCCCATGGGGATGGCAGCCTCACCTTCTGCTTCAGCAAGGACGATGTGGAACGCTGCAAGCAGAAGGACCTACTGGAGCAGATGATGGCTGAGATGATCGGCGAGTTCCCTGACCTGCACCGCACCATCGTCTCAGAGCGCGATATATACCTGACCTATGTGCTGCGCCAGGCGGCCCGGTGCCTTGAGCTGCCGCGAGCCTCTGACGGTGAGCTGATGTCCCTGTGGGCTCAGGGCTCTCAGGCTTCCTTGAGCGTGCACTGACTTGCTGTCCCACAGCCGAGCCCAGGAAGTGTGTTCCCGCTGTGGTCGTGGGTGTGGTGGGCATGGGCCACGTGCCTGGCATTGAGAAGAACTGGAGTGCTGACCTCAACATCCAGGAGATCATGACGTGAGCACCTGCCCGGGGCTGAGTCCACCCTGAGAACCCCCAGTGGAGGTGGGGTTCCAGGGAGTATACCAGGGGTCCCCAGTATGGGGGCTGGGACTGGGGGAGCCCACACCAAACAGGCCCAGCCTTCCCTCCCTCCCCAGAGTCCCCCCGCCGTCCATCTCCGGCAGAGTGTCCCGGCTGGCCATGAAGGCCGCCTTCTTCGGCCTGCTGGGCTACGGCCTATACTGGATGGGCCGCCGCACTGTGAGCCTGGTCCTGTCGCTGCCAGCCGCGCAGCACTGCCTCCAGAGGGCGACCGCAGCCCGGCCACACAAGTAGGAGGCACTGTCAAGGGAGCGACCACACTGGGGCAGGGGCTGCTCCAGTGGCTGCCAAGGGGCTTCGTGGGAGCATCCTGGGTGCCGAGCACCCCTGAGGTCCTTGCCACCCCCTGTGGGGGTCTAGGTCAAGCCACACCTGCCCTCTAGTCCCACACCACCCAAATAAAAGATTATTTAACTGTCTGAGCCCGGGCTTCCCAGCAGCTCCCCTGATCTCCCCCATGGAGACTGCAGAGGCTATCCCCAGGTCAAGATCAGATGGCCCAGCTCCCAGGGTGGCAGGGGCTGGGGGGAGTGCTGAGGCCACCGCACCCTCCTTCCCCCAGGCGGCAGGGTGTTGGGAAGCCAGCTGCTGTCCTACCTCACTGTGCCTTCTTGAGCCCTCGCCAGCTGCAGGAGCATCCTGCCCCAGAATGCATCAGTGGGAATGGCTGGGTGCCCCACACAGCTCCTTATTGTGGGCCCCCAGGAGCTCTGGCTGACCCTGGACAGACCCTGGCATCCTGGGCCTGGCCGACCACTGCAGAGATTCTGTGTTTTGGCTTTTTTAAATGTCTGAAAATCTTAACTCAGGTAATTTTAACTTAAATGAAAAAACAAACTGAAGCAAATGTCAGGAAATACAAGCCTTAAATCTGATTGGGACAAAAAGGAATTCCTTTTCTTTGAGTCTCTGTCCTAAGGTCAGCCTTGGGGGTCCAGGCTGATGCCTCAGGTATGAGCTGCTGTCCTGGCTAGAACCTACTTCCTGTGCCCCAGCTGGGGTGCACAGGGGCCACCTGACCCTCAATGGACAAATAGCTTGTGGTGGCCTCAGCCTTGGGGTCACGGTGGGGCTGCCCTGCTGAGCCCTCCTGCCTGGGCCACCTTCTATTTGGGGCTATCCCTCCTGCTCATCTCTTCAGGCTTCACCAGCCACGCAGCCCCAGCCCAGCGCAGGGTGACCTCTGATTGTCTTTGTGTCCACTGAAATCAGGTGACGCCCACATCTATGAGCCCAGGGGGGTGTGAGTGCAACCACACTCATGGATTCATTCCTTAGAAACTGAAATAAATTCTAATTTTGGAAGTTTCTGTTTTGTGAACTATGTGGAAATGGGACTCAGGTGATAGGGGTGTGGGTCCTGGCCATCTCTCTGTGCTCCCGGGACTATGTATGCTGAGGGCACTTGTGACCTGCCTCTCCACAAGGATGCAGGCCTTGGGCCCCTGGCACCTAGCTGTGGCCTTGCTTAGCACCTCACCCTGAAGTGGAGAGGAGGTGCAGCCAACTGGTGGCCTGAACAAAAGATCCAGTGGGACTAGGAACTAGGACATGCCTAGAAAGACTGACAGTGAGTGTTAAGCATGGCATGGGCTCTCCTGTAGACAGACGGAGGTGGGGGTGTGGGTGCTTCACCAGTGGGTGCTAGGTGGGCCCGGCCTTTCCCTACCTTCCACCCTCTCCTCTTCCCCTCCCCATGTGTCTGGCAGCCCACCCTATTTTGAGTTTTGCTATTCTCTACTTTGGCCTAGGTCAGCTCAATGTTGCATAGCAAGGGCTGGTAAGAATAGCCAACAGGGGCTCAGCACCTGTGGCTCAAGCGGCTAAGGCGCCAGCCAC